TGGCTTTTAGATTTATTTTTAACTACATTATTGAACGTTAGTCAAATATTTCCTAATTTTACCTTTTCTCTTTGTTTTTGTCTCTTTCAGGTTCCGACTCTAGTGTATGCCAAGTACACGTTGCCAAGGCGAACCACTTACTCCGTACGATCCAGAGTTGAACAGAACTTTGCGCAGAATGAACAATCAAGGACTTCCAGTTAATCCTATTGGAGGAAATCTAGATGAAGCAGTTGAGTTACAACAACAGAGGGTAATTGGTGGGGACAACCAGGTTCCAACTGAAAATCGATTGGGAGATGCAGTGAGGGTGCATGGTCCACCAGGCCCACGACAACATGACAACTATCGGGGCAACATCGATATAGCAGACTCTGATGGACCTATTGTCCTACCTCTTCTACCTCCAGGGCACACTTTTGTGGTGACTAGTAGTTTGATGCAGATGCTTACAGCAAGAGGTTTATTTTCAGGATCGCCATCGGAAGATCCACATGCTCACTTAGCCAATCTAAGGGTGGTGTGCAACAGTTGTGTAGGTAGATCAGACTTGGATTTGGATGTCATTGGATTACGAGTGTTTCCTCTGTCATTGACAGGCGATGCTGCAGTATGGTTCACTGAGCTTCCGTATAACTCAATATTCACATGGGACATAAGTGAAAATTGAAGAGCGATTAGGTGTTGAGGTACTATCAGCAGTCATTATGAATTTTGATAGTGATGGCATTGAAGAGTATGATGAGTTGGTAGCCTTACTCGATAGGTGTGAATACCGGCCCAAACCAAAAAAGTATGAATTAGACATGAACAATCGCGAGTCTCCACCCGCAAGACCATCTATTGTGGAGGCACCGAAATTGGAGCTTAAGGCTCTACCACCACAATTGAGGTATGTATACTTGGGGAAAGAGAATACTTTGCCGGTCATCATTGCGACATATTTGAATTCGAGACAAGTAGATTGCTTGGTGACTGTGTTAAAAAGGTTCAAGCGAGCTATTGGGTGGACTATTGCGGATATCATTGGGATTCCTCCCGGTATTTTCTCTCACATAATCCAACTCATGCCAGATCACAAGCCCAGTATCGAGCACCAGAGAAGATGAAATCAACCTATGCAAGAGGTAGTTATAAAGGAGATCATCAAGTGGTTGGATGCGGGAGTTATTTATCCCATCTCAGATAGTAATTGGGTATGTCCTGTGCAGTGTGTACCTAAAAGGGGTGGTATGACTGTGGTTCCAAATGAAAGAAATGAGCTTGTTCCAATGAGGCCTGTTACTGGATGGAGAGTTTGTATGGATTACCGGAAGCTGAATGCATGGACAGAAAAGGACCACTTTCCTATGCCGTTCATGGACCAGATGCTGGATAGATTTGCAGGAAAGGGTTGGTATTGTTTTCTTGATGGGTATTCGGGCTACAATCAAATTTCTATAGCTCCAGAAGACCACCTTCAGTTGCCCATATGGGACTTTTGCTTTCAAACGGATGCCATTTGGGTTGTGCAATGCTCCAGCAACCTTTCAGCGTTGTATGATGTCGATATTTTTTCTGATATGGTGGAGGACACTATTGAAGTGTTCATGGATGATTTTTCAGTTGTAGGTGAGTCTTTTGATCGTTGTCTAGATTATCTGGCCGAGGTGCTTAAAAGGTGTGAAGACTGTTACTTGGTGCTGAATTGGGAAAAGTGTCATTTCATGGTGAATGAAGGTATAGTGTTGGGTCATCGAATTTCAGAGAAAGGTATTGAAGTTGATAGAGCTAAAGTTGAGGTAATAGAAAAGCTTCCACCACCCATTTCTGTAAAAGGTGTTAGAAGTTTTCTTGGGCATACAGGTTTTTATAG